GACTGGCAAGATTTAATATAGGGATGGAGAATGTGCGTCCCTACATACAGTATTCTGTTAGACATTCTCCCTCATTACTAGGTTGGCTGGCTAAGACGCAGGGAAGTTGCAATCCAAGATTTGTAACGTTACACTTTCCCAACATTATGGTCTAAAGCAGGGGTCCTCAAACTTTTTAAACAAAGGGCCAGGTCACAGTTCCTCAAACTGTTGGAGGGCTGGATTATAATTTGAAAAAAGCATGAGAATTCCTATGCACACTGCACATATCTTATTTGTACTGCAAAAAAAACACATAAAAACAATGTAGTAATTAAAATGAAGAACAGTTTTAACAAATATAAACTTCTTAGTATTTCAATGGGGAGTGTGGGCCTGCTTTTGGCTGATGAGATAGGATTGTTGTTGTTGTGTGCTTTCAAGTTGTTTCAGACTTAGGTTGACCCTGAGCGAGGGCCGGGCAAATGACCTTAGAGGGCTGTATTCGGCCCTCGGGCCTTAGTTCGAGGACCCCTGGTCTCAAGTGTTAGAAGTAGCAGATGTAGTGAGATGGAAGAAGAGGAAACGAAGTCAAACATTAAGGAACAGAAAAGAAAAATAAACTCTTGATATAGTGAGCATAGTGTAAGCCAATGGTGGGAAAAAGGACATCTATCACACTCCCAATCTCTAAAATATAATCTCCAGATTTTATCAGAGAGAAGACTCAATTCACATGATGCACAGAAGGGTAAACTTTTAAATATCTGTTAAATCTGTGATCCCCTGCCATATAGAATAGCATTATGGAAAAAGGGAGGCAAAACTTAGGGAAGGAAAATCAGAAGGGTTTCAATATTTCTACTTTTAAAGAAGACAATTTTTATGATTGAGTCAGGGTGTGCTGTGTTTTATGTAATTTAACAGATTTGTTTAATAGTTTCATGGTTTTTAACTGTATTTTTAATATTTCCATATTTAATTCTAATGTTTATATACATTAGATTTTAATTCACACATTGTTACATTTTTCGTATTAGCTGCTTTGAGTCTCCTTTGGTAGAGAAAAAGCAGAGTATAAATATAGAAGAAGAGGAGGAAGAGTGAGGAGGGGTAGTCTGTAGGTTATAAGAAAGCTTTCTAAAGAAAGCGTTTTCCAAAGTGCTGTGGGTCCCTTCTAAAAGCCGATTTAAGGCAGAAAGCTCTCCCTTTTTTCCTCTCCACTTTCAAAGATGGGAGCTGATTCTTCTCAGCTGTATCTGCTTAAAAGGAAGCAAGCACACATGGTCCTTGGAACATCCCCAAAACCTTGCCTCCTTCCAATCCCCCTCTAGCCCCAAATGGGGAAAGGCCTTTTGAAAGCTCCCTGGACTATTACAGGGCAAAGGATAAACAGACAGAATAAATATAGAGTTGCTTTATTACAAGGCCAGCCCACGCTGGTGGCTGGCTGATTCCAGGGCACATCCCTCTTACACCACACCAGGCCAGACCTCAATAAAGACCAGATTGGAGATACCTTGTGTTCATTTACGACTCCAGCATGCATCCCAGCACCCTGCGCATGCGTGGGATGGGGAGACCTAAGCGGATAACAGCAATGCACTACACATTATTTTTCAGCGGGGGAATACCTAAAAATACAATTTGTTTTCAAAACTAAAATTAGATATTCATAAAATAAATTACAGATCTAGTGCAGTGTGGGGGTGGAAAAGGGAGACCCGATTGAAAGGAAAGAAAAACAGGCACAATGACTAAGAAGTGAGGATGAGCAAATAAATAGACCAGGACATGCTCCTGTCACACTGGCACACGTGCCGATTGTGGTAGAGAAGATCTAGTGGTTGTTTTCTTCATTTCCTGGGAGAGGTACGGTTGGGTAATCCTCCTCTCTTCACACTTTCCCCCCACAGCACTGGAAAGTTGTTTTTTTTTTAGTCTTATAATAATTTTGACCTGAATACCAAAAGCCATAGTTAAAATCCTGGGTCCCTAAGCAGAGTTATATATTAAAGGGCTATGATTTCTGTATTGAGCTCCCTGGACCATTATGTTTTACAGGACTATTTCCAGGAGCTCTAAATTAGGCTGATTCCTTCAGAAATCCTATGCTAGGTGCAAGCAATAAGTAAACTTGATCCAATTATAGGAAAAAGGAAGAAGCCACACTGGCGTGGATGATATACTCCGTGCCTTCTTAGCCCTAAATTAAAAGGTTCATGTATCAGGAGATCTAAGACCTGAAACCAGGATTGGTTGTACAAGTCAGAGGAGCCAAGGAGGACTATGCTAGACCAATGGTCTGACCCTAAGCTTGGAAAAAGTTACAACTCTCAAAATCACCCAGAAGAAAAGTAACTTTAGCAAGGTCTAGCTTGGTATTACAGTAGTTTCATGAGTTCAAGAAAATTAATATTGTTGCACACAAGATGTAACTAAACATCATGAAAACATCTCAATGTAACTAAAAGATGTTTTCATGATGGCAAAATTTAGGTGTTTGTACATCCTGGAATGGAGCCCCCGATGGCGCAGTGGGTTAAACCGCTGAACTGCTGAACTTGCTTACCGAAAGGTTGCAGGTTCAAATCCAGGGAGTGGTGTGAGCTCCCGCTGTTACCCCAGCTTTTGCCAACCTAGCAGTTCAAAAACATGCAAATATGAGTATATCAATAGGTACCGCGGGAAGGTAGCGGTGCTCCATGCAGTCATGCCAGCCACATGACCTTGGGGGTGTCTATAGACAACGCTGGCTCTTCGGCTTAGATGAGCACCACACCCGAGAGTCAGACACGACTGGACTTTATGTCAGAGAAAAACCTTTACTTTTTACTACATCTTGGAGATTTGTACAATGACAAACATGAATTCTAACTGTTAGAAATGACCGTCTCAAAATGAAAATAAAGGGTTTCAGATCCAAGCAATGAAGAAATGACATAAGTCAGACATGGAACATCTATGTTTTTCCTTAAAATCCTGATTCATCTACCCACGGTTGATGCAAAAGGCATACAGAAATGCTATAAAATAAATCCTGAGCTCAGAGATTCATTTTTAGTGCACAAACTGAATGAAACTTGCAGACTTTTCATTCAAAAATACCTCTCTGGTTACCCCAAGCTTTCTTCATTTCCAAAGCACAATAAAACCGTGAAATAGTCATTTGGCTGCTGCTGATTTTAAACATCAGAGACAGACATTCTTGCCAATCTATTACAAATCACTCAGAGCAAATACCATCTGTCATCTGTTGTCCCTTGCTGGAAAGCATGGTGGTGATGTTGCCATAATTAAGCTTATTCCCATATTCAGTGTAAGATTTTATTATCCACTACAGAAGAGCCTCTATTGAACTAGCACTGAACCCAACAGAATTAAAACTTACCAACCTGCATGACAAGTCGGAGGCAACAAGGCCTAGAAGAAGACACTGGACTAGCCCATTGAGAATCCAACAGAATTCACAATCATGATGATCCAAATTGTATTGCTGCTGGAGGGGGCCGAGAATAGGGCCTTGCCTTGTCCCAGAAGGGATTATTCAGGGAGAGGAGCCTTCAGGGTGCCTTTAAGGGTCATGGTTTCCAAAAGATCCAGAAATGTATCAAGGACTTTGTTCTAACTTAGGAATTGGTGGGGAGAGGGATAGAGGAATGGCCTCTGGATTGTTTTGGTAAGGATGATCCAAATAGTTCTGAATACAGAAAAACTAAACCCATCAAAATCATTCCAGGGCAACTCAAAGGACTCTGTGACATAATACTTCCTCCTGTATTCCTTCTTTCCATTACTAAAGGAAACTGCGCACCTTTGCTACTGACAAGGTTCTGTGAATTGTGCAACTGGGTAACATAACTATTATTGTATAGTGGTGTTTATTTTTAATAGCCATGTCCTTAGGTCTATGTGAACATAGCTTGAGAGTATGAGCAACAGTTGCTGAAAAATTACAGGAGGACCTCAACATGGCTAACACGTAAGCATACTGGGGTTCCTCAATTGGTGATGGTACTCAAGAAGCCATGAATCAACATACTGCAAACAATGGACACATTTGCAGTCAGTCATTTCCAAGTAGTTGTGTGCATGTGCATGCATGTTTGATTTCAGAAAGGGTGAATGATGGAAAATTCAGCCTTCCATGGCAGTCAATTCCAGAATTATTATTAATAGTATAAGGGTAAAGAAAATGGATTTTCAGGGAGCCCTCCTTAATGCTATTCCTGCACGTGTATGGACCTATGCATGCCTATGCGCGCACACACTGTCCACTGTGCACTGAAAGGAAGGTGAATCTCTGTGCAAGGGCAAGTGTGCGGAAGCTGTTCACATCCCCTAGCCTGAGGCTGCCGGGTGAGGAGTAGGGCAGCGCCAGGGTCGCCAGGTTATCGGACGATAACAAGGCACCACAACCCAAGCACGGGACTTCCAGCAATGCAAGCCTGCTTCCTTTGTTTTGGGAAAACAAGTACAAGAATGAGACCTTTGCTGGAATGTTGTTGCCCGGCCTAAAAGTGTCCCCCAATTTTACCAGTGCAAGCTGATGCCATTCTCACTCTCTCATCCCAAACCAAAGAAAGAAAAGAAAGACAAGGAGTCTTGATAATGTTTTTAGGGAGAAAAGCTGGAAAGTATATCATTTCTCTTTCTGAATTCAGAAGTTGCAAGGGGACATTGTCGGAGGGATTTTGATCTGGCAGCATCCTACTGAACAGAAGCAGGAGAGACATCAGCCAGAAAGAACAGACTTCTCCTGAAAGTTTACAAGTACTACATGTCAAATCCTTTGCCCACTTTTCCCTCAATAAATTGGAACATGGCCTAGAAACACTAAAAAAATCAACTGAATAAAGAAAGTATCCTAGATCAGAAGTGCACACATGCAATTAAGTTTCAGGACTGCATTGACAAAGTGAGACATTAAGGCATGTGTCATTTGCTGACTGCATTATGGGAAGCGTGGTGTGCAAAACTCATAGACAAGAATCATTACGCAGAATGTTTATGACATCCAGGTTTAGTCACAAGATCACTACGAAGAGAGCTGTTATATATTTGCCACTGATGTAGAGTGTATTCAGCAAGTCACGTCATTGAATTGTTTGGACATTCAAATGAAACAGGTGAGAAATTTTGGGATATTCTGTGAATGTCTACTGCGTATTATAATGTATTGATTATTACATTTACAGTTGAAAGTGAATAAGATCTTGATTATGTTATGCCACCCTGAGAAGCACCACAAACTTGAAACATTCACTTTTTAATTCAACCTCCCAGAATCCCCTGGGTCGAATGGGCATTAGTAAACTATGGACCAAAATACAGTACAAACCACATATTTTGGTTCCCCCCCCAAAAAAAAACCCCCAATACCTCAAACCATGGATAATAGTGAACCCTATATGTCAAGGCATCACACTGGAGAACCTAGAGAGGCCCACAAACACTTCAGGAGGGGAATATTTTTGGGAAGATGGCATTTGAAACTGTGGATATTGAGTCCATGGATAAAGGGATTTCACTTGAAGAAGTTTAATCCAACACTAGTTTTTGAAGAGCTGGAATTGTTGACCAGTAGAGGGAGAAAGTAATTAAAGATGACTTTTGGTATAACCTGTTCATTTATTCATAGGTTTGCCATAAGTCAAAGCCAACATTGGAGAATATAACAAAGAAGTATATTATTTCCCTCATTCCGTTAGCTTACTGTCATCTAAGCCACACTTTTTGCGTTTACTTCCACTCATGTCCAGAGAGCAGCTGCCCTCCAAAGGGAAGTGTCACAAAGCCATGAAGTGGACTGCACTTTCACAACTAATTCCAGAGAGCTCAACTATACTTGATTCCCCAACTAACAGATCAGTGGATAAAAGATGAAAACTCAAGCATGATATATAAATAGAACTACTATTTCAACAACAATGTAATGCATTTTTCTGAAAAAAATGTTTTAATAAAATCTAAATTTATTTAACAAAACACATTGGAAACTCTGGTAGACCAGAAAATACTGATACTCCCTAATCCAAAATGCTTGGGGTCAGAGGATTTTTGAATTTTGGGGGATTTTGGGAAAGCTGCATTTCCATATGCAGAGTGGATAAGGGAATGACAGGAAAGGGGGCTAATCATATGTTCCAGCCTAACATGACCAGACGTGATGGGAATTGCATCTGGAGGATACCAGGCTGCAGAAGGCCCTTTTAACACATGATCCTTAAGCACCCAATGTCTTAAAATATGCACTTCACCTAAACCTCCATTGCCCCAGGGTCTGCCCCAAACCCCTCAAATCCGCATCCGTGGTGGAAGAACACAGCAGATCTCTGCCCTTGGGCAATTCATGCACGATGTGGGGAGAGGAGGCAACGTAATAAGAAAAATAAAATGCATAAGGGAAGCAGTAATTACTGCGTGGCCGACAAGAGGCTGCTTCCTCAGGGCCGTCATTATGTGGCTAAATTTAACGCCCCACTCCAAGGGGGGAGCGTAGCACCCGCCCGGCCGCCGGCTCCTGCTACCTTCCCTCGGTGCCTGCTGAATGGCAGCCAAGAAAGCCATAAAGCAGGTCAGCGGGGTTTTTAATAGACTATTTACCAAGATGCTGTTTTTACTGCCGAGGTTTTGCTCATTTTATCTCTCCATTTTTACTCTTTTACCCTTGAACAGACTAAGCTGTATTTTCTGGTTTGGTCTCTCTCTCACTCACTCAATCTCTATTTTCAGGACTCTAAATTTATATGGTATGTCCCCCTTTTTTGGTAAATATTTGCCATGACTATGCCAAAGCCCATCCAGTTGAAAAGGCCCCTTGGCCCACAAAACAGCCTGGGAAAGACGCGAATCTCATTAGTACCAGTCATGAAAAGGGGCCATAGAGACAGTGCATCTTATAGAACCTCTGAACTCTCCACACGTGGATATATATTTAGCTATGTGTGTGCTTACAGTCAAAGATTGGAACAGTCTGGGCACATGCACATTGGCAGAATAATGGCCATTTCATCAGGCCAAAGGGGCCAAGAGGAAAGCCATTGAGGGATGGGGTCTGCGGCTACTGCCTGTCCAATATCCTCCTGTCTGAGGTTGGGATTTGGAAGAGCTCTCTCCCTAGTTAGGCCACCCTCACCCCAGGCAAGTATAGAAGAGTCTCAGAAACGTTGGCACTGCCAGTTCTCAATTTCTCCATCTCTCCATCTCTCACACCCAACCCCAGGACAGCCCAGAAGACCACAATGCAATCCCACAATTGACTACTAAAGGATCAGGGACTCCAAGGAAAGTGAAAGATAAGAGATGAGGAGGGGAGCTCATATTTTCATCTGCTCAGTCTAGAGACATGATGGTGAGGAAATAGCATTTGAATCTGGTCTTGAATGGCATGCAGCCCCAAAGCATACAGCAGGCTAAACCTGCACCCATTCAGTCTCAGCTTCCAGCCATTGTGACATCAGACACAGTTTGAAAACACTTAATGTTCTAACTTATTAGAATCAGATTGGTTTTAAAATGTTTGTTAAGAAATGAAAACTATGAACACACTGTTTTTCAAATAGGGGCATTCATAATAATTCATAATGACAATGTTAAAATATCAATTCAAATCAAAGTGCAAGCGTACTATCTCTTAGGTAGAGTTTAACATCAGTTACAAACATATTTCAAAGTACAGCTGGCCCTCCACATTTTTGGTTTTAACTTCTACAGATATGATTATTCATGTATTTGATTAATATGTTCTGTAAACTCTAGATCCCAAGGGAGACTCCATGGTCAACTTCTGACAGAAATTGTCTACAGAGTCACCCTGGAGGGTGTTGCTCTATGCCACTGGAGAAATTATACTGTTTCGCTGGTACTGCACTACCCAATATCCGCCAGGAAGTAGCAGCCAGAATTGAAAGGACGAAGGCATTGACATCTCTAGCCAATTCTCTGTTTGGATATCAGACAGCATGCCAACGACTTAAATCAAGAAATAGCTTCCTAAGATCTACAAAGACACTCGCAGAAACACCTCAGCAAATGAGAGTCCAAAAGTGGCAGACTAAAACCTGGAACCTCAACCAGTGGCTGAGACCGGGGGATAAACTCCCTCCTGGGCACACAGAAGAATAGGCGACTCAAAAGGCGCTGAACAGGCTGCGCTCTGACACCATGAGATAGAGTGCCAATCTTAAGAAATGGGGCTACAAAGTAGAGTCCACAACATACAAGTACAGAGAAGAGCAAACCACAGACCACCTGTTACAATGCAGTCTGAGCCCCACCACATGCAAAATGGAGGACCTTCTTACAGCAACACCAGGAGCACTCCAAGCAGACAGCTTCTGGTCAAAGGAAATTTAGCATAATGCCAAATTTTTAACTTTGTGGTTTCTTATGTATTATAACTGTATTCTCAATTTGCTTCTGACATAATAAATACCTAGGCTTCCTAGAAAAGTGCTTTCTAGTTTTTCTACTTTTGGTAGGTTCTGCACACCTAGCACCCTTAATAGTAGAGGGTCTACTGTAGTACTATTTATAAACTTGAGCCATCTATATATTTAGGAAAACAATCCCCACCATTCCAACTACTGACCATAGTAGTTGAAGCAGATGAGACTTGTCCAAAAGATTTGCAGTTCAAAAACATGCGAATGTGAGTAGATCAATAAGTACCACTTATGCAGGAAGGTATCAGCACTCTATGCAGTCATGCTGGCCACATGACCTTGGAGGTGTCTATGGCCAACGCCGGCTCTTTGACTTAGAAATGGAGATGAGCACCAACCCTCAGAGTCAGACATGACCAGACTTTATGTCAGGGCAAACCTTTACCTTCACTATAAAATAAGGCACTCCCAACAGTGATCACCTGCAATGCTCACTTGAACTTAGTGGAGACGCTTCTGTGCCAGGACCTGTTTTATTACTGTGTAACGTGTGAAGTTCTACAGATACCTTGGATTGGTAAAAAGACAAATAAATGGATCTTAGAGCAAATCAAGCCTAATTCTCACAAGAAGCCAAATTAATTAGTGAAGGTGTCATATTTTGGACATATCATGAGATAACATGACTTATAGGAAAAGAGGGAGAGCACACTGCTGCAGTGGATTGAGCAGGCAGTTGATTGCCAAGAATCTTATAGATTTCTCGTCCATAAGGTTACCACAGGCCAGAGTAAATTTGACAACAAACAACAGAAATGTGCAAAATGGGCCTTTAAAATGGGGGTGGGGAATATGGAAAGAGATTATTAATAAAGGATCTCTGGAATGACTATAGCGAAGAAAATGAGTTATAATAGCACAGTCTTCTGTGAAAATCATAAGAAATGTATAAGAAACAGTGATTATCAGAATGACAACTGCCAGAAAAAAAAGTTCTTTTTCAGACTGTTGCCACTGGATTGTCCCTACATCTGAGCTCAAACAAGCCAAGTTCAGATAGTCACTTCTGCTGCTATCTGGAAAAGCTGGATTCTAAGACTACTGGCTGCAGATACACAGTGCCTGCCTCTTTGTTTCCACTGATATAATTATAATGTTGGCAAAACACATGAGAAAACATCAAGACAATTTTATGTATTTATAACATTTATTGTTTGTGGTTGTAGAGACACTTCTGCACCAGGATCTAAAGATTTTGATCCAGTGTGCAACCAAGAGAGTGAAAATATATAGTGAAAAGGAGTTAAAGCTTCATATATGGTGTAAGATGTTGATCTAAAAATGCCACATTATATTTATTTACTCAGGCTTGGAGAACATATAGTCCTCCAGATATTAACTGAATGCAACCACCCTTACCATTGTCTATGCTGGCTTGGGCCAGCAGGAGTCACAGCCCAACATCTAGCGACCACGTGCTTTCCAGCTCTCCTTCAAGCCTTTGCTCCCTGTCGTCTGCTTCCAATATTTCAGGCTGAACACATTTGCATTGATTGGGAAACTTGGAAGTTTCCTATTCAGGGATGGTCTAAGACAGGGGTCCTCAAACTAAGGCCCGGGGGCCGGATACGGCCCTCCAAGGTCATTTACTCGGCCCTAGCTCAGAGTTAACCTAAGTTTGAAATGACTTGAAAGCATATAACAACAACAATCTTATCTCATCAGCCCAGATTTCCCATTGAAATACTAATAAGTTTATATTTGTTAAAAATGTTCATTTTAATTATTGTATTGTTTTGAAGTGTTTTTTTGCACTACAAATAAGATATGTGGAGTTTGCAGAGGAATTCATTCATGTTTTTTTTCAAATTCTAATCTGGCCCTCCAACTGTTTGAGGGACTGTGACCTGGCCCTCTGTTTAAAAAGTTTGAGGACCCCTGGTCTAAGAGAAGCTCTCATTTTTTTAATTTTATGGCTCTCTCGTCTTTAATTGTCTTGGTGTATGTTCCCCCTTTCATCTCCTAAATAGTCAAATAATATCAACCTTCTTGAATGTGAAACATCTGGAAAAATGGGATTTGTGCTACCTATCCTTTCCAAATACAGCAGGCGCAAACAGAAGTGGGTGCCATAAAACTCAGTAGCAACATACAGATCACCTTCTTTTGGAGCCAGGAGTTCAGGTCTAATATGTTCTTAAGGAAATCTATAAGAAATAGTGGGCTGCTTGGACACACAAGAGACTTCTGTTATTTCTTTAAAGGCCAGGGAGCTTGTCTGAGATGTACAGGCAATGCTCTACAATACTCTTGCTGTCCAAAAGCAAGTTCTGGTGAGTTGATCCTTTGCCCAACATGGAAAGGAGACATGCTCTCATCCCCCAAAGGAGTTCCAAGGGAGTGGAAGGTCAAATTGTCTCCAGTGGTAGCTTGGTCAGCCACAACACCCTTTGATAGAAAGGTGTTAGGTCAACTACAAAACCCACCCCTTGATCATATTTACATCTGCACGTCATAGAAGTAAACTATATAAATACTACGGATACACTGACTTAGAGGACTGTCTCCATCTAAATAAATATCTATAAACTACATCTAAATAATGCATTGTGTGCGCGCACACACACATCTTGTCTGTATGGCTTCAGTATATACTTGGTGGAAAGTCACCAAGTAACATGGACCATCAGTTAGAGCAGCACCTTGATATGATCATATGAATGAAGGAAGGTCAGGGCTTGGGAAAGTCATTTTTTATATCAGAAATCCTAGAATTTTCCATCTTGAATAGCCAGTACTCATTCTGCCTAGGTACTTTGGGGAGTTGTAATAAAAACATATTTTCCCCATACTCTTGAGGGTGTCTCTTCACTGTTTGACGCTAATTTAACTGCCACAGCTCAATGCTATGGAATCATGAAAGTCACCGTTTTATCAGGTCTTTCCCTTTCTCTGTTGAAGAGTGTTGATGCCTTACCAAACTACCATCACCTCCCACAGGAAGGTAAATCTGTACAGAACAGTATAAGACACGCAAGCCTGTAAGAGGCCCTTGAAAAGCATTACTGCTTGTGAAGTAGGTAGGTGACTTTTCCTTGCAACATGTCCATTCTGTAGCTCTAACAGAAAAACTGGATGTATTTGAATGACACTCATAGCCCTAGAATGTGTTAGGCATGCTACATGCTATAAAGGATTTTAAAAACACAAACCACTATTATAAATGTATTATACATTCATCACGCCACTTGCCACTACTGGTACCAATTACAACGTATATACTATAATATATCCCATAGCTGAACACCACTGTAAAGGATTATATGTAATATAACACCACTGGACACCAGTAAGAAGGAAAATATCGCAACCAGTGACGCGAGGCTGGAGACTTATTGATAGTATGTCTGGGTAGGATGATTCTTTCTCTAAAGATTCACTTTTTCCTCAAAAATCCTACCCCTGTGCCTCCAATTTGGTAGCGAGATGTACATAGATATGTGTAATGATAGAGTGAACACTGCTTGTCTTTTAGTCTTCTTTTGGTTTGAAGCTGCCACCAACCCAAGTTGCCTTAGGATTTTTAAAATGAGTTTTTGAGGTAAACTTTTCCCACTTCTGCCAACACTGCTCTTCCCCTAGCTCCCAGAATGCCTATTTGATAAGAGGCCTTTCTATAGTATCAGGATGTTAAAGATGCTGGAATTATCACAAAGGATTAATGATAGATTGAGGAACAATAGAGACCTTTTTGAAAGTTAAATAGAAAAAGATTCATTTATAAAAACAGACAACTAACTATTTCTGAGAGGTACAAAATGCTTGACTTGTTACAAAAGTACTACAGCTTGATGGTTGCCAGAATGAGTTTCTTCACTTAGTTACATACAGAGCTAATCAAACAGATCTAACTGCTAGTAACACAAATCCCTCACTCTACTTCAGAGAAATAGTAATGAGTTTCTGACTAACCCATGCTAGGTAGTCCCCTGAGTTATCAGCTAACTCTTCCCAGAGTTCTTCCTGCTAACTAACTCAGCTAATCTCTTGTGCTATCCCCCACAAGAAATCAGGTTGCTATCTGACCTTTCTCCTGTCAGCTAATCAACCTTGTCTGACACAGACACTCTCTCCCTGAAAACTCAGTTTCAAAAACACTTCTTCTCCCACCAGCTCCCAGTTCTCAACTCCACAAAAGCTGAAATCTTTTCCCTCCTAAGATTTGGCTCCTTCCAGCTGCTCTAGCTAATCCCAGGAGATCTCAAACTCCTCCCATCTTCTATCTATCCTCACTCAAGATGGCTGCTTCCCTGGCTTACACTCCCAAAATGGAGGATTGCCATACTGTTATGCAGGCTTCCTTTCCAGCCTACTAGGTAAGATTCACTACACATGCCTTGTGAATTTAGCCATGTATTGTCCTGCAGAAAGGACATACAAGAATAATTTCTCAATATC